TGTTTGGACGCGGAGCCTTTTCAGGTTCGCGATCCTATGTTGGTACCTTGAAGGTTTGTTTTTTATCTTCTATAAGCGCTACGGGCGCCTCAGACTGCCACAGAGCACTCGCCTGTTCGACCTCAGTGCCAAAGCCCGCCACCCCCAATGGGGAGAAGCGCAGTCCAAAAAGCGTCCCCTCTTGGCTGCGCTAACGGCTGTATTTTTAATATTTATTCCCAGCCTTTCAACCGTATCATGCCTGCGATCAGAGTTAAGCTAAGCAGTGATTATTGTCCGAGCCCTGACGCGTGTCCTTTTTTGCCAGTGCGAGTCTGTTCGCCCGCTGCAGTGGCCATCCCGACGCGGCTATTACGGCAGCGACTCTGACGTCATAAAAACACACCATAACAAAATGAAAAGCTGTCGCAATGCGAAGCACATTTACTGAATAGTGAAATTGTGTTATCTAGAGCAGGCTTTTGCACTTAAAAGCATACCATTAGGCAGAGGCGAACGTTTTCCATCATATCTGACGTTTGCCTCATTATCTTCAAATTTGGAACATTGCCTTCAGCATTATCCAAAACATTCAAAACCGGCGGACCCAAGGTTTGCGCTCACGAGAGCGTGCGGCCGTCTGCCTCATCGACCCACACTTTTGCCGGCACGAGTTTCCGTTTTGCCTCCAGCGGAATCTCTTGGTCGCGTGTCGTCGCGGCGCTAGGTCATTGGCACCTTGCCCAGTTTCGAGCCATACTGTTCAACTTTTCTCAAGCTGAAACGCTTTCCATTTCCAGGCTTATCAAACGAAGGAGACACACACAATGGCCAATGGTAATGGTAATGGTATGGCAATCATGGTAATGTTGCAGTCAACACCCGCCTGATCAAACCTCTTGCATGATCATGCCTGACGATTTATGTGGCACGACTTCTAAAGCATTGCGTTTTTCGGCGCTGAACACGGCACGAACGCGGGATCAGTGGCTGCCAGGGTATTAGCTAGAAGAAACCATCGCGCTCGGGCTTTGCCGGGCCACACAACTTGAAAATTACATCAGTTCAGGGAAGACTCGCTCGTCCTGCGACCCTCGCAAGGATATGACCAGGATATCCGTCGATCCCTGCATATCTGTCGATCCATCGATCCATTGATCCATCGATCCATCGATCTCTGTCGATCCGTCGCTCCCGTATATCTGTCGATCCGTCCATCCCGTTGGTCTGTCCATCCCGTCGATCCGCCCCATCCCGTCGATCCGTCCATCTCGTCGATCCGTCCATCCCGTCGATCCGTCCATCCCGTCGATCCGTCCATCCCGTCGATCCGCCCATCCCTGCCAGTTCCGGTTGGCAGCGGCGTACAGTAACACACACAGTCACAAGCTGTGTTTGGTGCGGCGCGGCACGGACGGCCGCTCTGCGCAATCCAAGTTGATGGCCGGCTGCAAAGTCAAAAGAGGGGAGGGGGGTGGACGCGGCGGAGCTGGAGCTATAGCCCCTCCCCCTCCCCCGGCACCGTCAAATGGAGAGGGAATTTCATTAAGCACGGCCTGACGTCCATTCACCCAAATAGCCGCGGGTGGGGAGCGGTGCAGACAGAACAGGCGCCACTGGGGCGGCCCAGGCAGCGGCCTCGGCAGACCTGGGCTTGTCTGCTGCCTGTACGCCAGGCGGTCGTCAGTATAGCGGCATTATTAACTTAATATTTTGTATTTGCCTAGCACCGGCACCAGCACCACACATCGGGTCGATCAAGAGCTTGCAAGTGTCGGCTGTTACGACACTGGGTCTGAATTTCATTCCATTCACTTGCGGGGCACCATTTCCTGGGGTCGGCAAAAGTCACGCGCAGGCTCCGCCCCAGTGCCGTCGTTACTGATGCCGTACAGGCTGCCAGCAGCACTGCGGCAAAATATTGCGCCCGTCTTCGCTGGCGTCACCCCAGCCACTGACGGTTCCGGAGCTTCGTGAGCGAAAGTACGCTTCTCCACAAGTTGAGCATCCGTCGAGACGGCCGTTGAGGGTTGCTGCTGGGGGGAAAGGGGGGAGGGGGGGGGGGGGAGGGGGGAGGGGCGGCGTCAGTGGCGGCGCCAACCGGCCAGGTATGTTATCCATCCACACAACACAAAGCTGGGCACCATTCGCCGGTCCAAATACCTCCGGCGAGATTACGTTGATACGGCGCGCGCGTGCTCCGCCGGGCCGTGACGGCGCGGCGGTAAACACGTTGGCAAAGTGGGGCGCAAAAAAGGTGAAAAACAGACCGTCCGCCGTATTCGCCGGCGGTATTGAATTAGCCCCCAAGCAAATCAGCTTAGCAGCTGTTTTTGCAGCGCCATGGAACCGAATAAAAAACATGGAAATTTTGTTTGCAGTGAGATGGCTCCACAGCGGCTCAGGACAGCTCGTGTTGATGTCCCCCCCCCGCCCCCGCTCATGCCACATGTGTGACCCTAGGACTTGGGGGGGGCCTGCGAACCTCGGAACATGAATAAATGTGGTGCCGTTCAGATGCAGTTCCGCAAGGTCAATTTTGTGATTCTAAGCGGCATCTGCACAGATAATGGCTGCGCCTGGGGTCAAGGCGCCATCATTTTGGTCATCAATAATATTTGTTCTGGTTTGGTTATGCTTTGTCCAAGCATTGATGTAACGCTAAATTGAGCAGAAATAACGGCGATTCGTAGCACAACAAACTATGCTGAAACAACGGACCCTGAAATGCGGATGGATATTTTACTCTGCACAGAAGCCTGAGTATGTAGGTTTCGCGAAGTGAGCATATTCTGAACAGCGCGTTCTTATTGAAATAGATTAGTACATTATAAGCTGCTACGGGAGTTGAGACAAAACCGATTTCGGGATAAAGTTCGTCGGTTTCATCACTCGGTAGCTGGTGAACAAAGGCTACGTCATCTGGCTGAAGAAAAACACGTGACAGTGTCGAATGCGGATCACGTTGTTTGAGTTGAATGATCAACATTTTGACAGTTTTGAATTACGAGTTGGACAGAAAAATTCTATGACAAAAAAGAATCATGTCAAATAGAAAACATGAGGTGCTGAGGAAGAATTTCATTACACTAACGTGCAGGCCGAGCCGAGGGAAGCTGAAGTTGTTACGTACCTAGCATTGGAGTTTCGACCTAAAATGTGTCACTCGATCTTTAATAAACCGTAATTATGCGCCAAGTACTAATTTCTTACCCTGTTTGGATACACCTTATCACAACTTATATATATATATATATATATATATATATATATATATATATATATATACGTTCTGGTCGATAATACCCGCTTAAACATGACTATGCTTCGCACTGTCAGAGCACCTTCGATGCCAACATTCACGCGAGCAGCGGGGTATGTGGTGACCTTTTGATCCGCGCTGCAAGCATGCCATTACGGTCTGCTGCCGGCCAAACGGCCCATTGAGTGCAGCCGTAACAAAATGTGTAGCTTCATTACATCGCGGCGATGCTTGGAATACACCATGATGTGAGTTACATCCAGCGTAAACCGACTAGTCTGTACAGATTTTTCTTCATTCGGTACCTGTTTTATGTAAGTTCTTCAGTGCATTGGTGAGAAACAGTATCCACACAGATTGACATAGATTGACATAGATTAGCGAGGCACATTATCCACTTCTGCTCTGGGTTCGATAAAGGCATGCTGCCGAAATATCAACCCATCTATATCTCTATTCTCCTGTGTTTTTTCTCCGAAGAATAAGGCTATTTCTGCTGTCCTGTCACAGCAACTATTTTCATTAAGTGACATGATCCCTCGGTGATTTCGTCATCACTGCAGGTGACTCGGTTTTCGGTGGACTGGACGTCGGCATGTTGTTTACGGCGATAAAGCTTACAAATAAGCGGCAAAGGGAGTCCATCTCAATCCCAATTCTATCCGAACGTGCAAGGCTAATCCGCCGGCCGTGCAGAGGGAGCTCACAACTAAGAGGTCGGAAATGATGAAAAGGCGCGTAGACGTCATCAGGCCAGTTGAGAGGCCTATCCAGTCAGTGATCTATCTGAGCCCACCAAAGCCGGGAGCCTTGAAAAGCATCTTGGCCGTACCGAAAAGTACTCGCATATCTTGCGACGCTTGGGCATGGAAACCATCGCTGGCAGGAGAGAAGAACTATGCATAGGGCTAGGAAAACAAACACAAGCGTCTCCCATGCATAGAGATCTGCTTCCGAAGCACCGAGTGGCGATCTCCGGCAGAAATACTCGGACCGCAAGCACACTGCAAGCGTTTTGCTGGGATATGCGACTTTGCAAATGAAGTATCCACATATAACCAATCTCAGTAACACAGATATATTATCAACTAAGTAGTATCCTACTTCATACGTATCTTGTGCACATGTGCTGTATGAGCTGATACTCGAAGCCCTGCTTTTCTCAAGACACCGTCTCTCTCAAAGCGCAGCTTCTCGCCGTAGAATGGTGCAAAACCACACAACCGCTTGACCCTGCACGCTGCGCGATACACATCCTTACGCCGAGCGTGGGGTGCGCGATTGCCAGACTTGTGACCTACGTCCAGGGCCGGCAGGACACCGCCAGACACCACCAGACAGCTGGTGTCTGCATGTGCCACGGCATGACCGGTGCTTCACGTGGTTCATCTGGCGTTTCCTGGGTCATTTTACGATAACCTGACTAATGTCGTTCTTCCAGATAGTTATTTAGCATGGTTAAAGTCTGGACAGATTCGCTGTAAGTTGTGTAAGTTGTAGTTTGATCATCGATCGTCATCAAGTGGGTTTCCAGCCTGAATTAAAATCAACTTGTAGCACAATGTCATGCAGTTCAGACTGCTTTGGACTTGCTGATCCAACCCCATAGACCGTGCACAACCCGCGCTGCATTTTCCTTTCGGCATCCCAGAGAAACCTAACTCACGCGAAGCAATACCTTCAGGTCCCGTCACTATGCAGCCGCCGGCGGACACGGTGGGCCAACCTCACAGGAAATGGCGGCTTCCGGGTCGCTCACCGGTTGCGGAAGTCGGCGTGGTCAGTTCGCCGGGTCTGCTCTATCGCCTTGTCGCACGGAATCCGCTGGGTATCTCCCAGCATGCTGAAGCTCTCACGCGGCGAGTCCGGCGACCGCGGTGACGTCACGGCGGTCATAGCTCCGCCGGAAGTGGGCACTTCCGGTGCCGGTCTTTTGGCTGGTAATCGGTAGGCGCCTGGCTTCTTGCGAAACAGGAAGATACGCTTCTTACGAGAGAGGAAGATACGCCTCTTACGAGAGAGGAAGTCTCACAATCTGCACCGTCCGTAGGTCTGCCTGGTGTTTTGGTTTGTGGTCTCCTCGTTTTCCTCCCCCGGCTTACTCCATGTCGCTCGGCTGGTGTAACAGGAGGACGTAACTTGACCTGCGGCAGAGGGTGATCACAGCAGGCATCAGCATCAGCATCAGCATCAGCATCAGCATCAGCATCAGCATCAGCATCGGCATCAGCATCAGCATCAGCATAGGCTTTGTTGTCGAAATTCAAACACAGGGAAAAATCGGGTACTATCATAAGTGTAAAAAATTGCCATTGTCTTTGATGCGTAAGCGTTTTGACCGTGGTTGAGACTACTTAATCGTAGGGACGTGGTGGACACAATCCCGCTCTCGCTGCCATGTAGAGCACGTAAACTCCATTTTAATTTGCAAGCGCGAATGCTTGCGCTGCCGCCATCACTCCACAATGCTCGATTGTGACATTTCTGTACGAAAATAGATATACCTGGGGGTTCTGGAGGCACCTCGGTAGCATCGAACAGACGTGGACATCTCGGTAGACATCTCGACAACAGACATCATCATCAGACAACAGACATCTCGGTAGCATCAAACAGATGTCACCCTCGTGGGTCGCCTCAGCGCAGATACCGAGCACGCATTACGATTATGCTGGACGGAAACCGGCAATCAAGCAGGCATCCGGGGCTGAAAAGATTGCAATGGGTTTGAAATCAGCTTACGTAACGGAGTTAGCGAGCCCGTAGGCATGCAAAACAAGCAAACCGTAGGCATGCGAAAGAAAAACAAATATGATGCTTCAGATCAGACAGATATGATCAGACAGTTGAAGGTTTTCGAAACATCTCAACCATACTCACCACGGCAAATTTTGAATTACGCAGAAAACTATTTAACATTTGCAGAAGCAGGAGACAACGAACCTGTTTACAACGTGTGGACTTCCTCAATAAAGCCTGGCATCATGCGGCATCCGCGGGCTTTTGAGGGGCTGAGTCATGTCCGGTATTACCTGCCATCTGGTATTACCCCAATCATTTCCTGCCGTTTGGTGTAACCCCAGTCATTACCTGCCGTCTAGTATATCCCGCAATCATTATCTGCCGTCTGGTATTGCCGCTATCAACTACCTGCCGTCTGGTATTGTCCCAATCATTGCCTGCCGTCTGGCATCACCACAGTCATCACCTGACGTGGAATATTACCCCAATCATTACCCGCCTTCTGCTACTACCTCAATGATTGCCTGCCCTCTGGTATTGCCACAATCATTTCCTGCCGTTCTGGTACTAATCCCCAGTCGTTTCCCTGCCGTCTGGTATTACCCCAATCATTATCTGCCGTCTGGTATTGTTCCAATCATTACCTGCCGTCTGGTATTGCCACAATCATTGCCTGCAGTCTAGTATTACCCCAAGCATTGTCTGCCGGTCTGGTATTAACCCCCGTCATTACCTGCCGTCTGGCATTTCCTTAGTCATTACCTGCCGTCCTGGTATTACCCCAATCATTATCTGCCGTCTGGTGTTACCCAGTCATTATCTGCCGTCTGGTATTGCTCCAACAATTGCCTGCCGTCTGGTATTACCCCGATCGCGGCCACCGCAGCACTCACCGGTCAGCACGGCGCACGCCGCGTCCGTGTGTGCAGAGCTCGCCGTCCGCTCGACAGCCAGAGCTCCAGCCCGCCCCGGGGCCAGCACACCCGCTCTGCTGACCACACCCGCCACCCGCGCGCCGCACCGGACCTCCCCGCTCGGTCGGCCGCGCCCGCCGCACCCGCCGCGTGTGCACCGCTCGTGCGTGCGGCCCCGGTGCGGCGTCGTGTGCGGCTGCGCAGAGAGCCCCTAACGATCGCGGCCGCCGCGTGCCGCGTGCCGCTGGCCCGGTGTCGCCGTCGGCTTCAACCGGCGCCGACGACTCGCTTCCGCATTCGGCAGGAAGGGTGGGGGGGGGGGGGGGGGGGGCGGCCGACGCGTTTCCGGGCCGACGCCCGTCCCACCAGCCTTTTCTCGTGTTTGTCCTGAGCGGCCGATGTTGACGGCTTGGGTGGGGGAGGGGGGGGGGGGGGGGAGCGGCCGTGGGCGTGCTGCAGAATTAATTTTCGAGTGCCGCTTCTTAGTTCATGAGGTCTGTCAGCTGAAGGTGTAACAGTGATAACAGTGATAACAGTGTTGGATACAGTGATATGAGTTGTGTGTTGACTTACCGCTGTGAAGTCTGTTTTGAGAAGTTTGCACCAAGTTGCTTGATATCTTACCCCTCGCCCTGATTGACCGTTTTTTATAATGTGAACTGATAAGGGGTAGGCGTGGGGTCGAGCACAGCTATCCCCCTGCCGTTTCCAAACTAGTATATATATATATATATATATATCTATATATATATATATATATATATATATATATATATGTAATATTATATACATATTGACCAAAATAATATATAGCCTAGCGAAAATGCCTGTGGATTCGTTCGACGAGATCTCGCAATTGACGACAAGTTGTATGCTTTTAAGTCAGTAATTGATCGCATTATGCAAGTTCAAGCGTCAAACTTTCCAGAAAATCGCGCTTTCTGAGATTTACAACCTCACGCATACGAGACCGCGTCTTGTAGCGACACCAGCCGAACACCTGCACTTACGTATGCACTGTTCAATTCAAGGTACAATGGTATACAGCTTAAAGTATTTTGAGCATAACATTATAACGCATGGCTTCGTTAAGAGGAGTATCACACCATCCTGTACTCTCATTCATGGAAAGCGTGCGATTGATCAGAATTGCTCGTTTTCTCGAAATCCATCCGAGAAATTCAGAATTTCTATTTAAAGTAGCTGACGCTGCAGTGGAAATATCATTTGACCACAATACTTTGACAATACCAATAATTAAACATAATATTCTCATAATGTCTTCAGGAACACTACTGTATCCTTTTGGACGGGGCCTCTGCCCACCCCACCACAATGTCCGACTTGTCCCCAAGGGTGAGTATGTCCTTCACCTTCTGGAGATTAAGTAAGAGCAGAACATTATAAAATGGTAACTAAAACATCACCTCAATTTCAAATGGCTTCTGCTGATCGTTTACAGATAAAACAAACTTAAAAAGACAATTTGCGATGCCTCATTTAAGTGCAGCTGACCGAGTTAAGCATATTTCTAAAACTGCATGTGCGTGCCCGGCTTATGTGAGGATCTTCTGCTTCCCATGCAAGCTGTTTCTTTATTACACGATTCACATGTCTTGTCGACTCTGGGTTAGTTTTGTGCTATTGTCTAAGAATTTTGGCATTACTCAGCATGCTTCAGTTTCTACCGACTGCAACAAATCCATTATTATGATACGACGCCTTATCGGAAACTGAAAAATCGGTCGAATATAAGCACGCGAAATCGTGGCCAACCGTTACCCGTCCACCCTGGGAAGAAACCTTGAAATTTGCCGACCTCATCTACATAATTTTGCTATTGTCCTCTGAACGGACTCAACCAGCAACAGCAACACGAAAGTAGAGGTTCTACTTCTACATGCTTCACTCTGCCACCAGATGCCAGCACCGGTTCGCGGGTGACGTAAATGTTTATTCGTTCCTCATACCACCATTCAAAAATTACACAGGCGAAGCATACTCCCGGATTGCCAATTTCAAGTATACGAATTGGGAAAAACATAGACCTATGACAAAAGGCCTAGAAATAACCTAAAGACCAAACATGAAATATATAGACCTAATAGACCTAAGATGTTTAAAGATACTTTCCCAGAGATGTCATCGGTCTGCCATCCCGCTGGTCAACGTCTAGTGTTAGCCGCGGGCCGACGCCGCGCGGCCCATGGAGGACTGCAACGTCGGGCGTCGGGTTATTTGTTATGTGTTATATATTTGTTATATAAATATATGTATATATATATATATATATATATATATATATATATATATATATATATCACATAATCATGTGATCACATAAAACCGTCCATATGGTTACAAAAACTGCATTTTCCACCATTCAATTCTGAGCAAAGGTTTAACATTCCAAGACGAGCATGGGTTGACCAATTTAATGCAACCTTGATTCACAGAGCTCTGCACAAGCCAGGAAAATTTCGGCGCAGCTCTTGAGTGGGGTAGAAAATTACGCTGAACCCTCACAAATGAGTGCTGCTGGATGTTTGTTATATATGGTCATTTAGCGCCTGGTTCTTTCATATCATTTACTTCAAAATTCGAGCAGAAATGCATTTTTAATGCCTCCTGGCTTCTGTTTCAGTGATAGTGGGCAGATAGTAAATAGAGCGAAGAAAATCTTGCCACTTAAAATCAGGTGGGCCATATCCGCTGATCCAATTTGTTGTGGGGTGGGGGGTCTTTCACAAGAAAGGAAGCCTTTTGTCAACCCTATTCCTCTCCCCACCTTACCCGGGCTCTGACTCCGCCCCTTCGCCTGTCTGAAATTTGTCGGAGCACCGGCTGGGCAAATTTTGCAGCAGCACAGCCCGGCCTGGGCCCTGTCAAGACCCATTCCATTGCATAAAATGACTGAGCTGCGGTGCTGACCACGATGAGCCAAGTTCGTGCTCAGCCGAACATGCGGCGTGTTTTTCCGCAGATGCTTTTGCAAGAGACGAGTCTGATCTGGCTGGGGTCGGACCGGTTGCCCAGTGGTTTTCAAATCCTGGCGCAGCATTTGCCAGCGGTCGCACGACAGTTGCATTCGTACGGGCGGTGGTGCGAGTGTTGTGGGTGACGTGCGTGGCTTTTTCTTTTGTGTCAGCTGGGAAACCATACCGAAGCGTGTTGAGCCGGGCAAACATTCAGGCCGCCTGACTGTAGGCTTGTTAGAACGCCCGTTGGCAACATGCAGCAAGACTAGATGAGTTCAGAGTCAAATTTGAACCGCGGGATCCGAACAACATTGGATTTATATCGTCAGTTCTCCCAACAAGTTCCAAACTACTGGTTCTCAAATTAATTACATTAGTTACAACACGGTGATGAGCCGGAATTAAAAGGCCACTTGGTCTGTGGATCCCGGTCTTTTCGAAATCCCTTTCAACTAACCGCACAACCTCATTTTAACGATGTGGTCAGTGTGGGATTGTCGCGCATGATGCCAACCCGGCGTAAATCTGGCTTAGTTTTAAACCAATCACCTGCGGATGACGACAGTATAGCCGATCGATGAACGTTCCAATAATACAATAATAATGTAATAATAATATTATATTACACAATAATGATATATAATAATACAATAATAATATCATATAACACAATAATAATATATAATAATACAATAATATCATATAACACACCAATAATATATAATTATACAATACTAATATTATATAACACAATAATAATATATAATAATACAATAATAATACAATAATAATTCCAACAATACCCAGGAGCTGAATGAGTTCCGACGGACGGTGGTCGTGACTTGAGGGCTTCCAAGCTGCTTTGGTGTCGTCTTGTCACTTCCGCGCCGTGAGGCTTCAGAAACCCGTCCACCGGCAAGGACATGTCTCTGTGAAACATCTGGAACACCGCAACCATGTCTTCCGTGCGACGTCGGTAGTACAGCAGAGGCAGTTGCAGGAGTCTGAGTTTCCCAGAATATGACCGGCGTCTTACTTCTCGGGCAAGACGGGTACTTTGCCACTGAACCCGCTCCAGCCGCTCCTGATCTAGTTTGAAAAAGTCCAAAAAGTTTGAAAGAAAAAAAGGAAAGGTGATGCTGCCACAACCTCGAATAGCTGCGCCAGAGCGGAACACCGTGGTCCTGACAACAGCGGCGGCGTGAAGACGTCAACATTGGCGGATGACGGTCTCACGACCGCCAGCATCTGGTGGGTCTTATAAACTTCCTCTAGCTTGTGCACATGGGGCGTGAGCCTGCATGAGCCCCCACGAAAACTTCAGGGTACTTTTCAGTAGGTACGGATGCGATTTTGGCGCCGTTTGGAAAGTAGGGCCGGTCGCCGGTTGCAAGTGCTGATGTGCAATGCTTTGCACGTGAATGCGTTGCATGGGAGCAATCGTACTCCTCCGATCATTTCACCAGGTTATCGAGGTCAACCTAGAGAGGAGAAGCGGCGAGGAGCCCCGCGACACAATACCAACAATATTGTTGGTATTGTTGGTATTGTGTACAACACCAACAGTACCAATACCAGTACAATACCAATACCTCCTGCACAATACCAACACCTTGATGTCATCCGTGAACATTCTGACCGCGACTCGCACTCCTGGTAAATAGTTGACGAGAAGCATGGACAGGACTGGTCCCAGCGCCAATCCTTGAGCAGAGCCGCTGGCGTCGGTCCGGTCAGATTTCGGGTCAGGAACCGCACTCTCTGCTGCTGGATGGAAGCAGACTTTAAATTTACAGCTCTGTCGACAACTTGAAAGAGCTTAGTGATGTTGCAGTCAATTGATTGAATATAGCCAAATGTTATGCTTCGAAAGGTTTCCCCGCATTTGCAAATTGGCATAACGTATGATTGAGTTAAAGTGGTAAAGAAAAATAAGCCCTTTTCATAATAGTATCATGAGACAGGGGTCTTATTTGCTACCAAATCTGAAATGCACGAAAACAGGGATGAGCAGGAGTGAAGCCCATCGCTTGTCCTCGGGTCTATCAAATTAGATTGTAACTGTTG